CGTGTCTATTACCTGAATCATTATGTCAGTCAAAAAGCATTCAAACCTCACTTACACATTCAAATTTCCACATACAAATACACATACAAACAAACACGAATTCTGTCAGGAAATGAAAATGAAATATTTTACAAGAGTTGGCTGAGTCCTCTGCGTGCTGGCAAAATGTTGGCTGCAACGGATGGTGTCTGATACCTCTTTCAATTTGCAAAGGATTCTGTTGAAACTTAAATTTTGTCGCACACCATATAACAATTCATTAATAAGTTTTTTGTTATTGAAAATTACTTTCTTTGCAAATATACAATGGCGTCCAATCCTTTACATTATATATTTTTAATAAGTTATAAACAAGTTACTAATAAAATGTTGTTAATTTGTAGTGACCATTGTCAGTGAATTAGACTAATAACATCCTCTTTTCTTTTCACGGAATATGATGAAAAGTTGCATTTACAACAGTGCCACAATTGTGTATGCTAAACTTATATGTATTAGAAACTACAAAGAGTTTTGAAACATTTAGGGTTGTTCAATAATCTGAACATTTGATCACAGAATAAACGGCGTTATTCAATTATTTTCGTACTTATAGTGGGTCGCTTCCTTTCTTACTAACACGACCACAAATGTTTACATTGATTATTGTACCATGTCTGTCATTTTTACAATTTTAAAACTAATAAATAAATAAACAATCAGTGATTCAAAAAAGCAAAAACGGCTGTTGAAATACACGTAATAAAAATAAGAACTGTGTCGTGATTGATTGACCTAGCTATATAGCTACTTTAAATACGATGGAAGTGAATGTGAATGTACAAATATAGGTCACACAACGTGCGTCATCCCCCGCGTCATCCATGCACAAACGATATATTACGAAGGTATCTTATTTATTTGATGGGAAAACGACATGATTTAACATTTGCTAGGAATTATAACGTTGTTGAAACAAAGTTCACCCATTTACGCTTAGCCACAATAAACATACTGTTGGATAGGCGTTAATGACTAACGAAAACCTAAAATAAACTCTAAGCTAGGCGTCAGGCAAGATTGAACTATTCGAAAAATGACGCCTAAGATTTTATAGTATCTTGAAACTTTGCCATTAAAACTTCCATTTCACACACAGTAATAGAGCAGTCAAATTCGTATTTTCAGCGTTTGGCAAACAGGCAATTGTTCTATTTCCAGCCAGAAGTCGAACAGAAAGTGGGTCGTTCGCTCTTAGTCAGAAAATTGGCGATATGTGCGAATGGATATCACTCTCTAATAAAAATTTGCAGTGATAAAGCCCGCTATGATTGGAACACATGGAAAGGCAAAAACATGATGGCGTAAGGTTACAAGTTGTAAACAGATCGTCAAAAGCTCACTTTTAACGGTGTGAACTTCTTAAATATTTTCAACTGAATAGTAGTCATGAAATTATAATATATGAATAGAAGTTGTACATTTCACAGAGTCACTATTTAACTCAAATTATACAAAGGGATTACTTCTTCAAAGTGGTACAGAAAAATTTGATCTGGGAACATTGCTTACAGAGTCTGGTGTTTTGTGTTGGGTTTGTCTACCCTTATCTATTTCAAAAACATGCCTGCTTATTCTGAAACGAGTCATTATGATTTTATGTTTCAGATTACATGACAGCAAATGGTTCAAAAGTGTATTACTCTTTAAACTTTATATACTTTCTAAGTTTTCTATTATCATTTGTTACACTCAACTTCCAGAACTCCACATACCTTTGTTGGGTATTATTTTACTGTGTGGTAATTTTTGAGGTGTGAAGACAAGGGTAAATTTGCAGTACTTTCGGAGACCATGTTTTTACTGATGTAAACCATGTAAATTGTGTTTTTGTTTTAAAAAGTTGTTTTGTAATATCATAGTCTGGTAAGCCACTAATGCGGTGATAGTAGTTAATGTAATTTTCCTGAATATCTATGAATAATGGAAATTTAACATTTATTTTTTGGCAAAATAACTGTTCAATTTTGTGCTATCCCATCTAAAATGTATATTACGTTCTGCCGCCAAGTTGTTGATCCATATAACAAAATTGGTTTAATACATACCTAAGAAGATATAAATGTTCTACAGTCAGCCTCCTTGGCATGGCTTTTAACAGTGCTTACATTGCTCTAGAAGATTTGTCTAATTGTAAAAGCTATACCTAATTAAATATATGAATTGACACAACAATAGCTCTTTTTCTTTTTCATCGTTCCTTTTTTGAAAATCATATCTTTCGTTTTATTACCTGGAGTTTCCATTTGTGGCAGTACTCAGATAAATAATTTAATGCATTTTTCAAACCTAATTATGTTGTTGAAATCAATACTGGGTCATCTGCATAAAATAGGGAGTTAATTGTAGAGTTGTTTAATGTTATTTGGTTTATTGAATCTTTTAATGTATCATCCAATTCATTCACATAAAAGATTAATAAGAAGCATTGAACTTATAGTACATCCCTGTCTCACATATTTATATGCCAAAGCGAATACATGTCTTAGCATTGTTATATATGTGTTTAACCAAATGATAAAGTTTCCCATTAATTCCATTCTTCAATAAATCATTTAATAAGCCATCCCACCAAACAGTATCAAAGTCTTGTGGAAATCTAAAAAGCGTGTATATTGTTTACCATTTTGTTTAAGGTATTTACTAACTATTGTTTTAGATAACAAAATTGATCAACGGTCTGATAACCTTTTCTAAACCCAGCCGGGTTGTTATTTATAATATTATATTTCTCTGAATAATTACATAACCTACTATTGACTAAATTACAGAATCCATTGCCTATACAACTGGAAACTGCTACCCCATATAATTTGCTGCTTCCTCCTTATAATGTGGATATGATATTCTCACAGAAGTAGTGATTTCTCTGTTGTACACAACTCATCAGTAGAGTTCTGAGACACACCTGTCATGTCTGGACCTGCAATGTCAAAATAATTCACAGTGTAATACAACAGGTTCACGACATATCAATCACCAGAATATGAACATTTATCTAGATAGTCATTATTTAATTGATTTTTGTAATTCACATGATAGAAATGAAATCCAAAGCAATGTTTTTTAAACCCAGAACGAGTAATTTTCATTAATATTTCGTTCTTTGCATGGCAAATGTGAAAATAACAATTCTGAAACAATGTAATAATATATCTCAACATTACGCGTGAAAAATACAATTCAAACATGGATAACTGTTTGAGTTAATGTAACCATAATTTAACCAACATATTAAACACAAAGCAAAATCGAACTTAGTTGATATCCGAACCAGTTAATATATCCAAGTTATTGTTACCACAAAAAATAAATTTTACAATGAAGTCACCACCAAAAACAACAACTAGTATTACAACAACAACAACATCGAGGACAGATATTATTCCTCATGTACCAAAACCTTCATCTGTGCAGTAAAACACCCAAACATAGTACTGATAGAACTGCATGAATAAATCGATTTCACCATTATAAGACCATTGAAATAATTAACACCAAACTTTCTTTACCGTTACTCAAAATGATGAGATCAACTTACTGGTTGGCATGGAAACTCCCTGCGAGTTGACAGGAAAAATGACATTTTGTCCAGGTAGTGATGCACCTTGCATGTTCGTTACCAAGGGAAGCCCTTGTAATCCATTTCCTGTCTGGTTAAGAACCAGGTAGATCTAGAATTAAATATACAGAATGAATCAAATTATAACATAAACTACATGCCAAAACGTTTCTCATAAATTCTTTTGATTTTTGAAATATCGGTTGGTTGTAAATAGTTATCATTATGTACATTGGGTATTGTCACCAGTGCTATTTAATAAATTCATAAATTCTTTTGATTTTTGAAATATCGTTTGGTTGTAAATAGTTATCATTCTGTACATTGGGTTTTGTCACCAGTGCTATTTAATAATTCATTTTTTTTAAATTATTATTTATCCTCGAAGACCTTTTTGTCAGGATATGTTTTACCTAAGTGAAGTTTGTTATGCTCAGTTTGGGACACCAAATGACTATCAACCTACATCTAATAGTCAAATGTAGCTGCGTATTCAGAGTTCAATCACACGCATGTGAAGTTGCAGTATTGAATTCTCAACAATTATATATTCAGACTGCAATCACACACCATTGCAGCATTTAATTCTCAACAATTATATATTCAGAATGCAATCACACATCATTGCAGGACTGAATTGTCAACAATTATCTATTCAAAGTGCAAG